TGGTTTGAAGTTTCCTAAATGTGTTCTTTGGGTGCATATGTAATTACGCTACATCGTGCACTTGGAGGACCATTGGGAAATGCTGGCGAAATTTTGATAGGTCAAATAAAATGAAATACATTTACTAGTGAGGGTGGCATTTTAAGAATGGGTTAGGATGGTGTAAAGAAGGACCATTTGTATAATGAAGAAGTGCTGCCGGATTTTTGTTACATCATAAGAAATAAAATATTGTGTTGCTTGTATCTCTTGTATGTTTGTGTGTATATATAAAATGAGTGTTAATAATTTTGTTGTGCATTATTTTGCATGCATCAATCATTCTCCCTTCTTTCTTGCTAAGCAATTCATATGATGGATAGAAGCTGGATTCATATGTCGCGTACGTCACCTGAGTTTAGTTCTGGTTTGGAAGAGTTTATTCGTTTCGCAGAGAAACATTCAAAAGAAGGAAAAAAGCTATATTGTCCTTGTAACTCATGTCACAACCATTTTATGGTTGATAGCGTTAAAGATATAAGATTATATGTGTATCGCAAGGGTTTTGACCCAAGATACCTGCGATGGAAATGGCATGGAGAGTTAGAAAATCCTTGCAGCTCTAGTTATACTCACAATGAACAAGTCGAGGATGATATTCACGACATCCACAATCTTGAGATTGAAATGGAAAATGAGTTAGGGGCCACTCAAGATGTTCTTCCTGATCAAGTCGTCATTGATGAAGAGCGTAATATGTATGAGAGCTTAGTAGGAAGCTCTCATACATATTTGAATTGTTTTTGTGTTTATGTTTAAGTTGATATGTGACATTTTGATATAGATTGCGTTTAAAATATATATTGTTTAATTACTTTTTGTTTGATTCTACATGATCTGAGATGTTGTAATATAGAAAGAGCATATATTGACCGACCTAGATACCCGTTTATAATTTACTCATTGGAAGTGAATTTTATATAGCTCCCAATTTGGAGCTGTTCTTGAAATGCTTCTCTCACTTAAGTAGTGAGTTTATTTCTTTATCTATGTTCTGTCATTTTTTCGTTTGAAGTTTCCTAAATGTGTTCTTTGGGTGCATATGTAATTACGCTACATCGTTCACTAGGAGGACCATTGGGAAATGCTGGCGAAATTTTGATAGGTCAAATAAAATGAAATACATTTACTAGTGAGGGTGGCATTTTAAGAATGGGTTAGGATGGTGTAAAGAAGGACCATTTGTATAATGAAGAAGTGCTGCCAGATTTTTGTTACATCATAAGAAATAAAATATTGTGTTGCTTGTATCTCTTGTATGTTTGTGTGTATATATAAAATGAGTGTTAATAATTTTGTTGTGCATTATTTTGCATGCATCAATCATTCTCCCTTCTTTCTAGCTTAAAAATTCATATGATGGATAGAAGCTGGATTCATATGTCACGTACGTCACCTGAGTTTAGTTCTGGTTTTGAATAGTTTATTCGTTTCGCAAAGAAACATTCAGAAGAAGGAAAAAAGCTATATTGTCCTTGTAACTCATGTCACAACCATTTTATGGTTGATAGCGTTAAAGATATAAGATTATATGTGTATCGCAAGGGTTTTGACCCAAGATACCTGCGATGGAAATGGCATGGAGAGTTAGAAAATCCTTGTAGTTCTAGTTATACTCACAATGAACAAGTCGAGGATGATATTCACGACATCCACAATCTTGAGATTGAAATGGAAAATGAGTTAGGGGCCACTCAAGATGTTCTTCCTGATCAAGTCGTCATTGGTGAAGAGCGTAATATGTATGAGAGCTTAGTAGGAAGCTCTCATACATATTTGAATTTTTTGTGTGTTTATGTTTAAGTTGAAATGTGACATTCTGATATAGATTGCGTTTGAAATATAGATTGTTTAATTACTTTTTGTTTGATTCTACATGATCTGAGATTTTGTAATATAGAAAGAGCATATATTGACCGACCTAGATACCCGTTTATAATTTACTCATTAGAAGTGAATTTTATATAGCTCCCAATTTGGAGCTGTTCTTGAAATGCTTCTCTCACTTA